TGAATCAAACCCAACAGAGTAGTGGACAACCCTCTCAATCATACAGCAGGAAATGGTCTGTGTGTCTTAGATTTGGAACATTCAGACATAGTCATAACATAAAAAAAACACAAAAGCACAGTCAGGCAAGACAAACATTAGTTAAAAAAAATGTAGTGAAGAATTTGACAACATCTATGTACAGCTGTACAGACATAAGTGCTGATGTAGTGTATGTTTTGTACATATGAGCTAGGACATAGTGACAGTGACACTGTCCTTGGCTTTATCCACTTCACTGTTTTTGTCTGCAGGTGTAGCACATGCAGTCTCTCTAGGCGAGTTGTTCGGCTGTCCAGGGACTTTGGGAGTAACATCTGTGCTGCCTTCTGACTCTTGTTCTTGCTGTGATGATGTTGCTGGAATGCAAAAAGTCATTTCATACACCTATTAATAAGACAAGTCATTGAGTCATTTTAAACTATTTATATACCACCATTCAAATACATTTATTCAGCAAGCATGCATGAAATTGATGTTACAAAAGACTTCTAGAATATATTCTGAAATATATCATGGTTTCCACAAAAATATGAAGCAGCACATCTGTTTTCAACATTGATAATGAGAAGAAATGTTTCTTGAGCAGCAAATCAGCATATTAGAATGATTTCCGAAGGATCATTTGACACTGAAGACTGGAGTAATGAAATAGAAAACAGCTATTTTAAATTGTAATTAGTTTTAACTGTATTTAAATAGTTTTTACTGTATTTTTGATCAAATCAATGTAGCCTTGGTGAGCATAAGAAGCTTCTTCCAATAACATAAAAAAAATCATACCAACCCCACCTTTTGAATAGTAGTGGATATTTATGAGGTGATTGATACATATACACATACACTGTATATATTAAAGCAATAAGCCCCAAGAAACCGTGGTTTACAATGAATTTAGCTGTTATAAATTCACTGTAAACCACGGCTTCACGGGGCTTTTTGCTTTTATAAAACAGTTATTCCATATATGTAGTAAGGTTTCACAAAATAAAACAGAGCAAATAAAGTGTAAGTTCCTCACAGAGCCGTTGAGAAACAGAGTTGCGACACGCTTTGATCTCGCCGCCACGCGGTCACGTGGTTCATGGAGCTCTCAATAGTTCCAAACAACTCTGCGCTGTCAATGTGTTTGAATGGGTTTAAGTAGGATAGACAGCAGTTTCACTATATTTTAGGGCTGCACGATAAATCGCATGCGATATTTAACGCGCATCTTGTCAGAAAGCCGGTTCTGTAATCAGCGGTAAATCTCCATCACGTGCGGGCTTTGTTTAACCACTAGATGCCCGTATGGCTGTTTAATAAATATAGCCTACATATATTTAGCTCTACTCTAGTTGCTGTAAAGGGTTTTACCGGTCATAATAGCTTATTTATTTATTTACTTTATGTTTTGCATCGTATATTTAGACATTATCAAACACTCAATGTTTATAAGTTTTGCTTTTTTTTTTAAATGTTGAATTTAAAAAGATTAATTACTCACATCCCAGTATTATTTTATGGCATTTATGTAAGAAGACAATATAAGTGATTGTTAAAAAAGGCCAGCAAATACGGAATTTAACCCAATAATTTTTTTTTTAAAATAACGTTAAAAAAACACAAGGCAACCAACTGCATTCAGGGAAACTCTTTCTTGTATTCCTTTAATGGGCAGTCTTCACTGAAACTCACTCAACTCCCTACAGGGAGAGAAAGATTGCAGAAAGACTAAAAACTTAAAAAATATGACAACTAGCATCTGGCTATGATCGCTATTAAGGTGTTTCTCACGTTATCTAACTGCAAAATATAGCATAACTGCCTATTATCGAAAACTAAACATTAACTATACCGCGTTTCATAAAATACAACTACTGGCCAGATTTCTGAGAGGTAAACTAATGCGTTAAAATGCCAAAAACTGCTGTAATTTCCTCAACTTTCTGGCGAGTGTGCTTGAGAAGCACTGAAATGAATGGGCTTCAAT